ACTCAGAGCGATATTGAAACCGTTAAGGAAAAAAATAAATTTTTTAAGTTTTTTAAAGAGCTTCTTTATGCGGGCTGGGAGTAATTTTTCAAGGCCGTGACACGACATGCAAGACGACATGCGACATGACAGGCGAGAGGAAAAGTGGTAGGGAGAGCGATTTAAATGAAATTTGGTATGTCGATAGATTGGACCAAGACCAGCTTAACTGTGTACGATACATGTCACTGTGACAGTTAGTTTTGACGTAAGAAACGTCAAAATTTGATGTCCGATTGTGACCAAATTTGGAGGGTAGGCTATACGTGAGCGACAGTGCACTCGGTCCCACCCTGCAAAGTTGGATACCACGTTTTGTTTACATTTTCATCAGGGTGGGACTAAAGATTTAATATTGAAGAAAAATGTGGGTCGATTTCGGCATAATTGACGACGGGCTACAGGATGACGCCCTCGACGTTTCGAACCGATGCTTCTAAATGGACGAAATCAGTCCTCAGACGGACAGACAGACGGACGGAAGTAAGAAGAAGTTTCACTTCAAATATGCGCACATAGTGCACATATCATTTTTTTTATTTTTTAACAACAGAGGTATAGAGATTTTTTTTAAATTAAAAAAAAACACGACATTCACAAAATCATAGGTTGCCCAATAATTAAGGTATGTTGCATTTGCCTGGTTTTGTATTATTACCTGTTCAGTTTCAATTTAAAAATAGATACAGTTTTTCTTAAATTAGTTAAAATCTGCTTGTTCAAAATTATTCAAATTTGGCACGTGTAGGTATTCAGCATACGCAGATCTTTAAAAAAATATACGAGGTGAGTTTCCTACGATGTTCTCTATGGGTATCTCGAAAACTACTGGAGATAGAGAGTCGGTTAAATGGGGAACGAATTGCAGTTTTGTGTGGTCATAAATATGCGCCTTTTGGATTTTTGGAAAAGTTCATGGCCTACTAGATATTTCGAATAAACAAATTTTGACAATTTAAAACTTGTCCCTAATTCCATTATAATCTATTTTAGACAAAAAGTTTTCAGATAAAAGTTGTAGATAATCACATACCTAATGAGTTTGTGTTTTCTGATTTTTTCTAAAGCCTGTCATTTTTGACATATGACACAAACATGTTTTTTTTTAATGGAGACCATAGTTGGCCATGACTTCATAAAAAATAACCGTTTTTTAAGCTTTTCAGCGATATAAGGTATAATATGTTTATTTCCAAAAATTACTGAGTTATAGCCAATTCTTATTTTTATTGACTAATTTCACTTAGCTGATATGGTATTCTTATTCTGTTATGATTTATAACTTATAAAAAGACAGAATGTACTACTAAACGGTTCTTTAGAATTTACATTACGCAAACTAAAACTTAAAAAAAAAATATCAATAGCCCATACCAGGGCCCATAGACTTTAATTTATTTTTCCCGTACCGCCTCTTCGAGGGCCTCTTTTAATTCATCGAGGAGGACCATGCAATTAGTCCACCTTTTTCGATCCCTGAGTTTGCATAATTATGATATAAATAATTTTAACATTTCTTTTATTATGGGGGGGAGGAGGTGTCATAATGAAAGTCATGTTGGAACCATTCTATTGATGCGCGACTATCTAAATTTAACTTTTCTAACATGTCCTGAAAACCGTTCTCTAAAAAACGTCAGTAACATTCACCGGTCAACGTATCCTCGAAAACGTATGACCAAGAAAAGTTGAACCAATAATCCTACATGCTTTTCTTCATTTAAAGAATTCATATTTACAATTTTTGTTTATATTAATTTACAAAGTTTGGATGTGACAGTTTTGCATTTCTGAAGGCAACGACGATTGAACTTGTTTCCATGGTAAACTGGAAAGTGAAATTATTTTAAAATTATAAGAATTGGCTATAACTCAGTAATTTTTCGAAAAAACATATTATAGCTTATATCGCTGAAAAACTTAAATAATGGCGCTTTTTATGATGTCATGGCCAACTATGGTTTCCATTTAAAAAAAAACATATGTTTGTGTTATATATCAAAAATGACAGGCTTTAGAAAAAAAACGGACGACGCAGTCTCATTAAGGATGTGATTATCTACAACTTTTATCTGAAAACTTTTTGTCTAAAATAGATTATAATGGAATTAGGGACAATTTTTAAAATAGCCAAATTTTGTTTTCTTCGAAATATCTAGTAAGCCAAGAACTTTTTCAAAAATCTGAAAGGCGCATATTTATGACCTCACAAAACTGTAATTCTTTCCTCATTTAACCGTCTCTCTATCTCCAGTAGTTTCCGAGATACACATAGAGAACATCGTCGAAAACTCACCTAACAGCGGAGCCAATATATGGACAGTTCAAAATTTGCATGGGGTATCCTGTTTATTATTGTTACCAACGCCAATGCACCACTTGGTATAACATTTAATCATAATGAGATGATAAACGATATGTTCAATCTTGCTTTTTTCTGCTTCAATAACTGAGAAAGTATATTAGGTTTCTACATAATTCTCGTTAACCTTAAGCGTTAATTTATGACTAATCATGAATTGTTAACAAATATGGAAATATGTGCTCGACAAATAACTGTTAGTGGGCTGGTCAATAGATTGAAAAAATTGCTGTTAATGAGCCAAATTGATATGTAATAAGATATCTGTCTATTACTTTGAATAAACATATCAAGGAAGGTACATATCTACATCGTTGATCTGTACTTACTTATTGTAAATATCGTAATCGTAATTTTACTTGAGTGTTTAAGACAATGTAGAAATTGTTAAATATAAAGTAATTTTCTTTTTTTTAACGGAATACCTTGTACCTTTTCTACGATGTTCTCTATGGATGTGGATATCTTGGAAACTACTGGAGTTAGAGTGTCAGTCACATGAGAAAATAATTACGATTGTTGTGAGGATAAACATAATATGTGCCTCCCGGATTTTTGAAAAAGTTTATAGCTTACTAGATATATCGAAAAAATAAAATTTATATATATTATATATATATATATATATATATATATATATATATATATATATATATATATATATATATATATATATATATATATATATATATATATATATATATATATATATATATATATATATCTATACACACTTGATTATATATATATATATAATCAATCTACTTTAGACAAAAAGGTTATTACTTAGTCATGGAAACAATTTCAATCGTCGCTGCTGTCAGAGATGTCAAATTCTCACATCCAAATAGAAATATTTTATTCAGACGCAACTAAATTGTAAATACGAATTTTTCAAATGAAGAAAAGCTGTTAGATTATTGAAAAATTCGTTCAACTCTTCTTGAACTATACATTTTCGAGGATACATTGACCGGTAAACGTTACTAATATTTAAACGTTATACCGGGTGCGTCTCAAAAGTAGCTCACCCCTATAACTTTTTTATTTTTTTAGTTAAAAAAACGAGATTTGGTATATTAGTATATGACATAAATTAGGATTGATTGACGTATTCAATTGTTTTCGGTCACTACCTGTTTCACCGGAAATTACTACAACTTTTGATTTTTAAATGGCACCTTCAGTATTTTTTTACTTTATTCGATAGAACCTAACATTCCGAATAGTATGACATATCATATGTCAACTTTAGACATTTTCGCATATGGTTTATTTGAAATTATAACATAGGTTTGTAACGAAAATTTGACTCAAAATACCAAGTGTGTGGTATCAAATTATTCGTAAAAAATGCTTTTTCCAAATATGCTAATGAGCCACACTGGTTCTATTTGGAAAAATTGAGATAAAATTAAAAATACGATTTGGGCATCTTTTAAACGGCCAGGACAAGACACTAAAAACATTAGACGATCAAATCTATTTTTCCAAGACTTCTTAATTCAAAATTAGTTTTCAAAAAATATTTCTATTCAAAATATCATTTTCTATCGAATAAAGATAAATAAATATCGAGCGTGCCATTTAAAAATCAAAAGTTGTAGTAATTTCCGGTGAAACAAGAAGTGACCAAAAACAATTGAATACGTCAATCAATCCCAATTTATGTCATATACTATCATACGGAATCTCGTTTTTTTATCTGAAAAAATAAAAAAGTTATAGAGGTGAGCCACTTTTGAGACGAACCCGGTATATGTTATGGTTTTCAAGACACGTTAGAAAATTTAAATTTAGAGACTCGCGCATCAATAGAGAGGTTCCATCATGACTTTCATTATGACGCTCGCCCTCATAATGAATGAAAGTTTAAAAATTATTTATATCATTCCGATCTTATTTATATATTATCATTCAGAGAGAAAAGTTTGTAATTCAGTTTAAAAAAATGCATTTTATGTAGTCACAACAATAGCGGATTTTTTGAGAATTTGTTAAAATAGCTTAAAGTATATGTAGTGATATTAGTTTTTTAAGTTTTAATTTGTGTAATGTAAATTATAAAGAACTGTTTTATAAATTATTCTGCCAAATTCAATTCTTGTCAAAACAAAATTAACAATACAATAATTATGTAAAGTTATCGGGAATAAACTAAAAAATGCAATAAAATATGATTCTTCCATTTAAAAATATAAACCTTCCTTGACTCAAACTTTCTGTACAAATTATTATTTTTCTGAAATTGCCCTAGTACACAGTTTAAGCACGGATTAACTTACAGATGTGTCACTTATTTCATCTTGCTGATAAACGCCGCCGTAATCTCGGACCTTTAATAGGGCTATGGCGTTGTCAGACTTCGTTTTTTGCCAGGCATAATTTCTGGCACAGCTTTTTTTGTAGCAATTGGTAGCGATTCAACATACGTATACGCTTTGTATCCGAATGCATCCTCATTTTATTTATATAATTTCTCCTTAGGAAATATCAAGCACCTTAGTGATGTGTTATAAGTATATTTTTAAATTTATTCTAAGTTGTGTGCAATTGTAAGGAAATTAAGAAAAATAAACAGATTTATTTGCAAAAATATATATTTTTTTATGTTTTTTTTATATTTTGCTCTATAACATATATAAATAAATAACCTAAGAACAACAATGGTCAACATAATAAAGGGCAGTCGAGTTTTAAACTCATTTTTAAGCGTACCTTGAATTCATACTTCAAAAAAAAATCTAAACTTCTAAAGCAATTCAAATGTGACTAAGATCCACAAGCCAAAAGGAATATTAAATGCAATACTATATTCTACTAGAGGTAGTTAGAACAAAGAGATATTGTGCATGCAACAGTACAGAACAATAGACTAGAACCACATAAAAACATTTGCATTTAAGAAGATGGTAGTATAGAAAGAAAGGAAAGATGTTAGTTTATCTCACATTTCAATTGCTTTCTTATACTAATAATGCCCTTATAAAGGGTGTTTTGTATTTTCAAGGCATCGATTAAGAAGAATGAGTTATTTTGAGGTCAGAAAATTGGGCTATGGTCAATTTAAACTACTTAATAATATTTCTTGGTGTAGGGAAGCCCTTGGAGGGTGGGTCCCCAAAGTCCCTCAGCCTTGATTTTGCCAGCAGGTCCTTCAATTAGAACTGGAGCAGTTGGTGGTCCTTTTACAGTGGCACCGGCTCCGGAGAGTCCAATAGTGCCACCTCCTTTGGTAATGGCAGCTAAAAAGAAAGAATTAGTTATTTTATGAAATATCAGTAAGCTTCTTATCTAGAATACATAAGGCAAAATTTATGGTAGACCGACAGACAAGGAAAGAAAAAAAAACTATCAAAACTTTAGTGGGTCTTCTAACAGAGTGTCGCAAGCTCAATATGAATTTAAAGCTAATGGGATTGGCAGATAAAGCACATTTTGTGGCAGCATAATATACGTGCAGTTTCTTAATCATCATAGTCATTTGTAAGAAACCATGTAGAAGGTTTTATATTCAGTTATTAGACTTTTTTAAAAGCATGTGATGAAAAGGCACATGAAATTGCCAAACAAGGCTCATAGGTTTATAACCCTTCTACGGCGCTGTAAAAAGAGTCATAAGAATGACCAGAACACAATGTGTGACCAACAAATGTCTAGAATAATAGAAAAATGTACCACTGCATTGACAGGCAAAAAATTCATAGTAGAACATTTGCCAAAGTACCCTCTGAAAGAGCAGATTTCGCCTATTGAAGAAGAAAAAACAAAAGACATTTTTTAAGACTGAGACAGATTGAAAAATTGTGTCTTTTTTTGAATTAAATGTTTCAAAATTATCTTTTATTTAAGATAAATACAATCCACTCCAATCCGAAATCAAAGTTTATCGATATATAATCGAAATAAATCGATACTTCATCACTTATTTTATGTAAACAATTGTTACTTACCAGCAGCCAAAGGCAATGGTGCAAGAGGTAATGCCGGTGCTGGGGCTGGAGCTAGGTACGCTACTGGTGCCGGGGCTGGTGCTAGGTACGCCACTGGTGCAGGAGCTGGCAATGCAATAGGTGCTGGCGCTGGGGCTGGAAGGACAATGGGAGCAACGGGGAGTATTGGAGCTGGTGCGGCTGTCAGGATAGCACCAGTTTTAGCGGGCTCGGTAAAGATGGCGCCTGTTTTTTGGGGACCGGTGATGATGGCTCCGGTTTCTTGAGGACCAGCCAAGATAGCTCCAGTGCTCTAAAAAAATAGATGTAATGGAAACGAGGCAGTATGTACTTTGTAGGTTTTACACGTAAATATAAATTGATTAGCGTTCACTTATTAGCGTTCATTGATGAGCGTTCGCAAACATAACACTTGAAAATTGTTAAAAATAAAAGTTGCCATTAGTTTAAATACCAAATAATGTAGTAAAATATCAAGCATCTTAAGAAAATTTTCGTCATACTGCATTACTACCAATTTTTTCAAACTAAAAGCAACATATTATGAGTACTTATATGATTTCAGAGAATGTACTATAAAATATACAGGGTGGTCCGAATTGTATTCCGGAAACTTCGGCAGCGTATTCTGCACATAAAAATAAGTAAAAAAGTTCGCATAAATGTATGTTCTAAAATGTTTAGTTTCGAAGATACAGGGTGTAGAAATTTCATTTTTATTTCAATTTTTTCAAAATAATTTTTGAACTAATTTTCGATATTTGAATGAAAATTGGTATTTGAGGGTTTTTTTAACATTTTTTAACAAATTTGATTTCGATGTTAAGATGAGTCTTACTGGTAGGGAGCGCCCAACTATATGTTTTTACTGTTTTGAAGAGTAATAACTTTTCGTCCGTCCCTGTATTACACTACTCAGTAAAAAAATGTACATTTACGCCTTATTTTACGTAAAAAATGTATCTTGGTAAAAATCGTTGCGAGCAACCGTTCTCAAGATATCTGGAATGGAAATAGTCAATCCATGTCATAATTGATAAAAATTGATAACATGTTGACTGGATAGTTATTAGTCTGAAATAATAAAATTTGTAATGTTTGTGTGCCAAAGATTTAACAGAAACTATCCTATTTTTTTTCTAGAAAAATTCATGATTTTTGTCATAGCATGTAAAAATCCCCAGATTTTAATTCTCATACCAAATACCGAATTTAGTTCAGAAATTATTAAAAAAAAATCGAAATAAAAATGAAACTTCTACACCCTCTATCTCTGAAACGAATAATTTTAGGACATAAGATTATACGAACTTTTTTACTAACATATTTTTATGTGGAGAACATGTCGCCGAAGTTTCCGGAATTCAGTTCGGACCACCCTGTAAAATTATTATGTTGCAAAGGTGGGTTTCTCATAAAATGTAGCTAGAACTGTGTTAACTGTTTTGGTCTCTAATTTAGAAAATTACTTTTGTTAGTTATACATATTATATTATTTGTATTAAATAGTAAATAACATTTTAAATTAAAGATTTTCTGATGATTTAAAGTCAACCTATCAGGTAATCAAAATAATGATTAAAATCATTGATTCTCAAAATCGTGAAACCCAAGGAGTCCACGCATGCGCTGTGCATTCGTGGATGGAGGAAACAAGGATGCATTCGGTCCCTTTAAATAGGATGTTTAAAGTTTAAAGGGACTGAATGCATCCTTGATTTAATTGTATTTCTCCGTTTTACAGATATATCTGTGCTACTGTTGTGAAATGAAAAGAAAAGTGGGCAAACATTTCACTAGTAAGTAAATATAGAATATATATGTAAGTGAGGATTAAACTAGTCAATTATGAAATTCCTTTAAAGTTTACTAAAGATGTTTATAATTTTACATTATCGTATTTATTTCTTCTTATTAATTAATCAAAGATGCGTCAATTTTCTGTAAATTTTACTTAATGATGAGATAGACTGGTCTTCTTCTACTGATTACAGTTGAGGGTTGGAACCTTTGGTGTTACACAGCAAAATAAAAACACTAAATCACTACAATACACCAAAACACTTTTACTTTTACACTGGACGCGCGTTTCGCTAACCATGTTAGCATCATCAGCAGATGATTATAAACTGAAATTTAATAAAGTTTATAATCATCTGCTGATGATGCTAACATGGTTAGCGAAACGCAAGTCCAGTGTAAAAGTAAAAGTGTTTTGGTGTATTGTGGTGATTTAGTGTTTTTATTTTTCTTCTACTGAGTCAAATTTGTGATGAGCAAATGCAAGACCAAGACCAAGACTCCTTTAGTTTTTGTGTTGTAGAAAATATAACTAATTTGGCTTGTTGAACGTAAAACAAAACTAGCAAATTATTGAGTTTACCCTACCTTATATCTTAAAAAAGGGAACACTTAACACTTTACATATTAAAAAAGGGAACGTTTATATTTATGACACACTAGTCAGCTATTCTAAAATATATTTTAATTAATGTTAAAAACAGTAATTTTACCTTAGGTCCGGCCAGGATGGCTCCAGTAGAAACAGGTCCTTCTAATTTAGCAGGAGCAAGAATGGGAGCAGGGGCAGCATAGGCAATGGGTGCAGGGGCGGCATAAGCAATGGGTGCAGGAGCGGCATAAGCAAGAGGGCGAGGAGCGGGAGCGGGTGCAGGAGCAATGTAGGAGGTGATGATGGTCTTAGCTGGGGCGGCGTAACCAAAGCTGCCGAAACCTTCGTAGCCGTAGCCCGGTTTGGCAAAGGCCATCGCCAGGCATGTAGATAGTATTATCTGGAAAAACAAAACCGTAAAAATTAAAAAATACAAAAAACAATTAACTGTAATAAAATTTTAATATTTTTGTAACTACATATATTAATTTGATATCTTTTATAAACGCATTAGTTAATAATTTAAAGAAACTGTATGAAACTATTATAATACTGTATGTCCCCGGATTGTGTTTACAAGAGGAAAAACTTTTCTATTATTGACATTTTGAGAAAAATGCATTCTTCATAAAAAATTTGCTTAATGGTTAATCCCGTTTATACTGTTCCAAATTTCCCATAGTGTTTTAGAGAATATTAAAAAAACATAAAAATATGTCCTAAAAATCAAAAGGCGTTTCTTGGTAATATAATTTCGATTTCATTCAGTGATAAATAGTTTTTTACTTTGGCAACGATGTGTCTTTTGCTACTCCCACTAAAAAAAAACTCCCACAAAAAATATTTACATTCTAGAAATACCTACATGTTTATAGAAAAGATCTGTTTTTTTTGTTAACTTATTATTAGCTTATATTTTGGAATATACAGGGTGTCCCAGAAATAAGGGCAAGTATCTTAACTGGTAGATTTCGGTCTTAGAAACACACCTATGAGGGTTTTTTTGCGAGAAAAAAAATTAAAATTAGGAATTTTTTCTTGTCCAAAAAAAATTTAAAAAAATCCATATCCTAGAGGACTAAAAAATTGTAGAAAAGAATTCTACTATATTTTCATGTTTTTTTTTAATTTTCTTTAAAACGGTATAGAAATTTGAAAAAACATAAACGGGATTAAGCATTTTAGAACAAGCAAAAGTTTTTATGAACAATGCATTTTTCTCAAAATGTCAATAATTAAAAAGTTTTTCGTCTACTTTGGACATACTGTAGTATACGTATAATTACCTATTTTATATTAATTTATTTATTAAATATATTAACTGTAACAAAATTCCTGTTTTTTAAATATACCTATTTATTTAATATTTTTATACTTGTTTTTATTTTACCTTAAGGAAGGTTTTTTTATATTATAGAATATTTAAGTATAACATAGAAGAATTTTTATATTAGGCAGAAAATAAAAACATATAAATAAAATTACAAGAAATAAAAAAAAAATATATAATAATCCACATCTGCAAAATAGGTACAAACATATTAATAAATGACATATGGACATTAAACAAGAATAATGTTTATACAAAATAAATTCCGTTTAATTGGACATGATTTTTAAATCAATAACTTAAAATAGACAACCCCTTATATTGAAATTCTTATTTGTTATTGCATCATTTTCGTACTGTACATAATGTCACTACAGACCTTACAAAGTTGAAAACAACACTTACATAATAAATGCATGTTTTGAAAAAAAACAGACTTGAAAGAAATAATTACTTTCTTTTTTTCATTAAAAATTTATTGAAAATGTGCCCTTACCAAGTCATGGCATTGCATAATTTTCATATAGTTTATGTCTATATCTAGACAAGTAGAAACTGTATGCTTTGGAATAAAACATATTGAAACATAATTATTATTATATTGTTTTTTTTTTAATTAAAAATATGTTCTTACCAAGCCTTTCATAGTACTGAAACTGCTCTATAAACTGATTAATCAAGAACGATATGGGAAATAGTACGAATTTCCTAAACGCACCCCATCTTATAAAGCTGGTAGCAAAAAGCATGACCTTCGTGTTCCTGGTACGCGAAGCCGAGGTGCAATATTTTCAAAAAAATGCCCATGACAAAAACTGCATCGCACATATGCATACGTCATGTCACCGATATGGTCCGCTATATGGATCGCAAGTCCTTGCGTCACGTGGCAAGGGTGTGTTAAGGCGAACGCATACGTGGGTATATGGTGCAGGATCCGGCCGGTCGTTTCAGTTTTGTCGTTACGTAAATGATTGCTTCACGGTCGGGTGGGTATGGATGCCTTTAGTGGTGTCGTTGAGGTCGTTCGAAATCAGGTGGAAAAAAGTGAGCTATTTTTAGTACGGAACAGGATACGTCTGTTAAACAGATTTTCCTGATAGAAAATAGCTTAGAGGACGTTAAATTTTCTGAAAATTTGACCATTTCAGACAGTAGGTATATTTTCATTCAGTTATCTTTTCTCAACATTGTGAAACACAAACCGGCAAGTGAATAAAAATTGTTATTTTATTTTAATGGATAGCGGGAAAATCTCATAATTATTGTATCACAAGTTATATAAATAATATGTAATAATATTAGTATTAATCACAAATTTAGTATCTTCGTGAACAAATATTATAGACATGTATACTTGCAATTTTACTTGCACTGAAGAGAATTTGCAGCAACTTTTCTTGCACTCTTTCAGATTATGGATCCTGACCCATAGTTTTTCAATTTGCTCTGGCTCTTAAAACTCTGGTTACTTTAGAGTTGAATATCATCAAAACTATGATAACTAAACTACAATATACTCTATATATGTATATGTTACGTATTAGTCGAATTCGGGCAATGCCCGAGAAAAATACACAAATCTAGTTTCGAGCAAGGAATATTTCCCAAACCCGAAAAACCAACTAACCAATGAATTAACACCCTCCAAATAACCACGCTAACCAACTCGCCAAATTACTAAACCAATCCAACCAAAAAGAGTGAAACTAATGCAATCAAATCACACTAGAAGCAAAAAACTAATCGAATAAAATTAATTTTTCGGGTTTGGGAAATATTCCTTGCTCAAAACTCGATTTGTGTATTTTTCTCGGGCATTGCCCAAATTCGACTATTGGGCGTAATATATATAACAACTTTTTGAGAGACATATTTGGTATATACCGAGTGCCGTGCGTCTCAAAAGTGTATATGACATAAATTAGGATTGATTGACGTATTCAATTGTTTTTGGTCACTTCCTGTTTCACCGGAAATGACTACAACTTTTGATTGTTAAGATGGCACCCTCGGTATTTTTTTACTTTATTCAATAGAAAATAACAATAGAATGACATCTCATATGTCAACTTTTGATATTTTGCATATGATTTATCTGAAGTTATAACTTGCGGTTCGTAACGAAAATTTGACTCGAAATACTTTTGACTCGTGCGTGGTATCAAATTATTAAAAAACGTAAAAAATGCCTTTTCAAAATAGGCTGATGAGCCACCCTCGTTCCATTTGAAAATATTGAGATATGATTAAAAATACGATTTGTGCATTTTCTAACTGGTCAGGACAAGGCACGAAAAACATTAGACGATCAAATCTATTTTTCCATGGCTCCTTGATTAAGAATTAGAGTTTTTAACATAGCCACGGCACTCTAGAATTTTAAAATACGATTTTTTATTAAGCGGGAATCTCAAAATTTGACATATGATATGTCATTCCATTCAGAATGCCATTTTCTATCGGATGAAGTAAAAAAATACCGAGGGTGCCATTTAAAAATCTAAATTTGTAGTCATTTCCGGTGGAACAGGAAGTGATTAAAAACAATTGCATACGTCAATCAATTTTAATTTATGTCATATACTAATACCAATATAATCTAATAATACCAAATCTCGTTTTTGTATCTGCCATGGCTGTGAATCACCCTGTATATTGCATATTTTTCAATCTGGGTATATTACTTAATAAGTTTCAAAAATTGCTTTATTTTAATACGAATAAAATAATTAAAAATTGAGCATGTATTATTTCTAAAAAAAAAATAACTGTGTGAATAATGTGTATCGTTAAATTGCTAAAATTACATTTTCTACTAAATAAAATATAGAGAGACCGCTGTGTAAAATATGCGTACAAGAATTTCTCATTAATTTCATTCAGTTAGAATTTCAATTGAAATCACGCGAAACCAATCGGCTATATAAACACGTAATCTATTTTTACGAGGAAAATAAAAATGTGTCTAGTTTTTCACTGCACTTTGAGGGCGTGGTCGCGAGACAAAGACTTAATTGTACAGGTAGTAAAATGATATAGCATATTTTTCTCGATTTATTTTCGTTATTATCGACATTTCCTGCATAATTGATTATTTATATATATTGGTTTTATTAGAAATGACCAGATGTACAGGGTGGTCGAAATTGTTTTAACTATTTTTTGACTAGATAGTTTAAAACCGACATAGATGTCATGGGCTTGTTTTCTAAGGCACGTTTAGTGGCATAGACCGCTTATCGATATTATTCACTTCCAAGCTTCCAATCGATACACAAAGGGTCTGAATTTTCGACCCTTTTGGAAATTGCACATAATTTTTTTATGTTGCGGAATAATAAAATGCTCTTTTCAAAAAAATCCTTTATGGGTATTTCGCCACTGCACTGCAAGAAAATCTACAAAATAAAATAGTTATTTTTTGTAAACACTTCTGCGTTAAACCTAAACGGGCACTGTTTGTCAGAAGTTATATTTACAGTTATACAAATTTGTCTAACAAAGAAAAAATGCTTAACGTTTCGGAAAGTTCATCTCTTTCCGTCGTCGGAAGCAAACAAAATTACAGAGAATAAAGAAAAAAACTATTTAAAATATTTAAATTGAATTATTCGAGAACACTTTACTTTTTCAAAACAGATACGTCTACGAGAAACCGTTGACGTTCTGTTAAAATGACATTAGCTTTTTTCGTTTTCCTCTTATTACCGATTCTGAACCGTCCTAGAATTGTGATGCGTATGCGCAGAAGGAAATATGAAGACATTATTTGATTTGCGCATGCGCTGGAGAGTACTAGGACGATTCAGAATCGATAATAACAGGAAAACGAACAGACCTATTATATATCAAGTTAAAATTCAAAATTAACAATTACTACCTGATAACAATTACTTAATAAGGTAAAACCAAAAAGCCCCAAACTTTCTGTGTGATTATTTTTAAATTTTACGTATGTTATGTTCTTTAAAATCAAAGAAGCGATTGCCATACATTACTAACATCTACAGATGCATGAGCAATATATATATTTTTATTAGATTGAATTAAAAAATCCTCTTTTATTTTTCTTTTAGAGGCTATCGCTTCTTTTATTATAATGTTGGCATAATTAAAATTTATTCTGTGCTCTGTGTGCCATGAATGTTGACAAATCTTAGATTTGTGAAAATCTCCCTTTCTTAAATAATATATATGTTATTTAATTCTAACATTTAAGGGTCTAGATGTTTCACCAATGTAAAATTTATCGCATTCACATGGTATTTGGTATATTATATTTTTTGTTTGTTGTTCTGTATTCATTGGTTTAGTATGTGATAAAATGGATCTAAGTATATTTTAAATACTCTTATTAAGCACAACTTAGTGGCATAATCATTTTTCTTCTATACTTATGATTTATACCAGAAATAAGAAAAAACTAATTTAAAAAAAATATATTTTTTAAATGGAAATCATAGTTGTCTCTAAATCTCAAAAATACCGCTGATTAGTCCTTTTTTTCATAAAGAAAATATTGTGTTTTTTCTTTATATCGAAGCAGGCCTTATAACAATCATGTGCATCCATTAATTTATGTGTCATATCGTTTTGTCAAATTACGGTTGTTATTTAATTATTTAACTTTGATATTATTTAAATTGTGTGAAGTTATTAACAAATTCAAATATGTATGAAAATTTCAGACGAGAGAAGAATAATTGCAGGAAGTTTCTAGGAGAGCTTTTGCACTTATTACACCTGTTATCATTGGCGTAAACTACAGGGGTGCCCGTGAGTGCCACCCCCCCCCCCAGGTACTGCTGGGCACCCCCCAGAGAAATCCTGAATTTATATTTGCTTGTGATGCAGTAAAAATTACGTTTTCTAGTTTTGTTTAGTTAATATTATTTTGATTAGTTAGGTGAGGTTAGGTTAAAAACCAAACCAAACCAAACCAAACACGGTTTGATAACCAAGTCTATGACATTTATTGATAGAGAAATTCATGTAAACGTTTTATTAAAAAAAATGTGTTTTTTTAAATTATTTTTCATTTTTAAAAAAAACAAATGACCTAGGCCCCCCTTGGGCTCAACCCCAGGCCCCCCAGGATAAATTGCTAGTTAGGCTAATGCCTGTTATATTAATATAAATATTGACTGGCTTATGCCATTAAACAAATTTTAAAAAAATGGGGTCTATGGCATCTAGCCAGGCAAAAGTAGTTCTCTATTAAAACAAACAAATTTGAATCTCCCCGTAAGTACAAGTCATTTAAAGATCTATTAATGGTATATTAATACGAGTATAAATAGAATATTTTATGATTTTTATTGTATTATTTTTTAAAATGTTCACAGTGTTGAAAAATAGTCATGTTAGTTATTCTTTTGAACACTAATTTCATTTTAAGGGTAGGTGTCAAAAATGACTTCAAAGTTTGCTATCATTGCATGTTAGAGATATTAACTGTATTCTGAAACTATTAAATTTGTTATTTTTACTAAATTTTGTGATGTCGAAACATAATTTCTGCCTGATTTTCTGATTCTGAAGTGAGGTTTCGGAATGGTAACAGTAACCAAATTTGAAAAAAAAGATTCGGTTGACAATTTTTGAACGTTTTATTAATATTTTCAAATATATTGTTGCTATGTGCTTATTAAAATTACATGACATTGTTATCGCAGTTATAATATTACCAATATTTAGTAAAGTTGAATAAATATGACTGAATTAA